CGTGCTCCAAGCCAGAGTGGCAAGGTGCTGTGCAAAGTGACAGAGTGGGACCACTGTAGTAAACAGCTTGTTTGCCACAGACTCTGTCCCCGAGTTGTCACTCCAAGACGGGACGCGGACCCGAAGGCGGCCGCGGACGCACGCAGTTGCAAAACAAAGCATCAACCCGATTTGAGCCAACGTCTCATACGAGACAAGGTCCAGGTTGGCCTCAGCCTTCATGGGGAGCCCCAAAGAAGTAAAATCCGAAACCCGGAAAGACTCAGAAAACCATGCCCGTGGCTGACCCTCAAACAGAACCCAGCCCCCAACACCAATCTTGTCGGCACTAGCACAAGCGTCTGCAGCCAACGAAACGGAAGGGTCAAAAAAGGCAAGAGCCAGTGGTCGGAAGATCTGAGGACGCAAGCACCATGTTTGCCAAAACTGCAGGAAACGCAAGCTGGTATCCGACACCTTCCGCTTACCAGTTGACGGGTCAGCCACGCGCGCCCACAACCGCTTGCCTGTGTTGCGAACCAACCTCAAATCATCCAAAGTGTTGATAGGCACATGTCTAACACTCAACAGTTCGGAGCCAGCTCTGATGCTAGTCCCGGGCGGGGTACACACGAATTGCATTTCTGCATTGAGGAAAGACTTGATCTGTTGCCAAGCTGCCTGCGGCAAAGAGAAATTAGTCCCAAGCGGTCTCGCTTTGTCATGATAAAGGGTGCACAGCCAGGGTCGCAACGATGGAGCTAGCTGAAGAACCCAGTGGAGAAGACCTATCAAGACCTCAAGATCCTTACACGAGCATGGATTGCTACGCAGAACCTGCTGGACAGCCTGCAAAAGTTTGGCAACTTTCACCTGAGGCAGTTTGAACGCCCCCGCGCGAAAATGAATTTGCCAACCAATATATTCGATAGTGGGGCCAAGCTGCAGTTTGCGCCAACTAATGGGGTAGTTGAACGTCTGACAAAACGACAGAATAAGGCACGCTGACATATCTAGAGCGGCGATGGCTTGCCAAAAAAGAACGTCG